GTGTTATTCCCATTTTACAGATGAGGAAACAAAAGTGTAAAAGGGACTCTCTCCAGGCCACAGAACTAGATGGTAAAGAGGCAAAACCAAATCCTTCTCTGACTCCAAAGCCCACTTTCTTTTCCTGCCACACCATACTGCCATCTTGAAAATGATTATTCCCAGGTTCTTTCTTTGGAGAAGAAAATGCTAAAGCCAGCCCATACTAATAAGAATTTCCAAGGTCTTTTGTGTCTCCAGCGAGGACTTTTTCTCTAAACCCCCTACTGTTTATCACACAAACAAAACCAGAATCCAGTCTGGACCACCACCTAACCACTTGCTATTTTGTCTACTCCTGCCTTCTGAAAGCTGACCTGCATTGGGCCATTTCTCCCATTTGAATAAGCTTCAACAACGTGTTCTTCCTCCTGCTCAGCTATGCTAGGTCAGACTCTAGAGATTTCAAACCTCAATGAGGGCATTTTTTGACTCTGTTTTCCCCCTGTGCCAAACCATTTTCCTACTTACTCCTACTAAGCCAAGATTGGGTCTAGGGAGAGGATATCTTCTTGAGGATACTGTTGAATTCCATGGAAAACTCTAGCTGGGATCTTCTGTCACCATCCCAGAAAGGCTAAAGCAGGAACTGCCCTTCTGGGAGGCAGGAGGTCTTTTCACCAAAAGATTCAAGGTAGCTCAGCAATGTTCATTGAAAGCTCAGATAGAGATAGGAAGTACAAAGGAAAGCTATTTAACTCAGCCTGGGTAGAAAGAGGGGTCCAAGGAAGGTTTAAAGAAGAGGATGAATCCAGAATGAAGGCTAGCAATTATTCAGGCAAATGGTGGATGGTAGAATAGCATGCTTAAGGGCTTAGAGACAGAGAGAAAAGCAAATTCAGAGAAGTACATGTATTCAGGTATGGCTAGAGTGCATGTGTGCTTTTGTGTGTGTGTGTGTGTGTGTGTGTGTGTGTATGGCTTGAGGCCTTGAGGCTGGGGAGAAAAGCAGGAGACAGGCAATGGGGGACTTTCCTGGCCTCCTGGGCTAGAGAGTTTAAATTTCATCCTGAAAACAAGTAAAAGATCCTAAAGTATTTTTAAGCTTAGTCAAGAGGTGGAATGACATTTATAATTTCATTGCCATTTCAGAAAGATCCTTTATTATTGAATGGATAATTGATTACAGGGGTAGGGCAGAAGTGGAATAAAGAGACCAATTTGAGGTGCCTAATAGAGTTCCAAATGGAAGAGATAACAGTTGCATCCTTTGAACTAAAGTTTAGGCACTGGGGATGGGGAAAAGTGAATTTAGTTAAGATACATTTTGACAGTAGATCTGATAGGACTTCATAAATGACTATATGTCAAAAACAGTTGAGGAATCGAGAATGACTGGGTTGAGTTATTGAATGAGTGATGGTCCTATTTAAATAGAGCACACTATGTGAGGGTTTGGGGATATAGAAAGAAGAGGGTAGATTATATCAGCTTTGCAAATAATGTTGACTTTGAGGTGCCATTAAAACATTCAGGTGGGGTCATCCCAAATGCAGATGAGTACACAAATCTTGAGTTCAGGAGAAAGATCTGTGCTAGAGGTCTAGACTTAAGGGTCATTGCCATAGAGATAGTGTGGATGAGATCACCCACAGAGAGTGTGAAGTATAAAAATTCTAGAAGTCTAGGTGAAACCCTTGGTGAAATAGTCAGATTTATAGAGGGGGGGAGAACAAGAAGAACTTATTAAGGAGACTAGAAGAATCACTTTGAGGGGCAGGGAAAACTGGGAGTGGTGTTATAGAAAACAAGGGAGAAGAGAGTTTTATGAAGGAGAGGGACAAGGTGAGATGACAGAGATATGATCATTGGATTTTGGAAAAAAGAAATTGTAGGTAATCTTAGTGAGAATATTTTTGGTGGAAGGCCAATGGCAGGAGCAGGACTGCAGAGGGCTGAGCAGTGAGTGAGAAAGGAAAGAAGTAGAGACATCAATATTAAATGACTAGTTTAATAATCTTGGCTGCAAAGAGAATGCTGTGGATAGTTAATAGTTGCAAAGGGTAGAGGAAAGATGGCTCAAAAAGATTGATAAGTATTTGAACCAGTCACCTGAAGATGCTTACCAGAGAGATGTAAAAGAACTTCCAAGCAGAACTGAAGGTCCAGTGGGATACACAGTCAGGATCAGGAATTGTGTTCCATTTAGCAATAAGCCAACACCTTGCACAGGATCACAGTTGGAAATTGACAAAGCGGGGTTTCAAACCAGATTTTCCTTCCCATCTCCTATCAAATATTTGTTGGCCATTGCTCTGCACTGCTTTGCATCATCATTAGTATTGTCGTGTTCATCATGGATGAATACTATTGACTATCAACTGTGTGCCCAATGCCGCAGAGGCACAACAGAAGTTTAATATATGGTTTCCTTCCTCAAATTGTTTAGAGGTTGTTTGAAGAGACAAGATATTAAAAAAAAATGCATATACATCTAAATTGGTGAGATTTTGTTTTTCTCTGTTTCTCTTTTTCTCTGTATCTCCCTCTTTGTCTCTCTGTCACCACTCTAGGTGTTCAAATGCACTATGTAAGGCATTTGAGATACAGAGATGATTAAGATACAGTCCTTGGCTTCAAATAGTTCACAGACTGGAGGGGAAGAATAAAGATTTCAACAGGAAATTTAAACAGTTTCCTCATATGTACAATAGGGGTTTTGGTACCACAAAGCATTATTGTGATATTAAATGAGTTAACATTTTTGAAGTGCTTATAATGGTCACATAGGAAACACTACATAAGTGTTACTATTATTCTTATTATTATTCCTATGATGGAAGTAAGTAAACACAAGATATTATAAAAACATACAGGAGGGGTGCTTGATCCTGGCTAAAATAAGAGGTATCTAAAGCATGAGATACATTTAGCTGAGTCCTAAAGCATGAGAAGGCACTAAACAGAGGGAGAATGCCAGGCATTCTGCATAGAACAAACAGCGTGTGCTCAGGGTTGTATATGCAAAAGACAATATGATCTGATTGAAAGTAACTTAGTTCAGCCAAAGCATAGAGTATGAGGAGGGGAATGGCAAGAGATGAAGCTTGAGAGGTCATAGAATACAAAAAAGTTTGAACTTTATTCTTTAGTTGGTGGGGAGCCACTGGAACGTTTTATGTAGAGTAGTGGCTTGATCAGATTAATGTGTTGAAAGATCACCTTAGCAACAGTGTGGAGAATGAATTGGAGGAGGCAATATCAGAAGTAAGACCAGTTAGGAAGTCATTACTATAGTCCAGGGGAGAGAGGATGAAGAAGCCCTGAACTAGGGAAGCAGCAGTGGGGATGGAGAGACAGGTACCATGGATTTGAGGTATAGTCAAGAGGTAGAATTGGTGACACCGTGACCATAGATAGTGAGAGATAAGTGTGACAGAGGTGTCAAGAATTGCTCCCAGGACTTTGGTCTAGCACAAGGGGATGGATAGAGATATGGTTCAGTGTCCATTAGGAAACCCAGGGAAGAAATGTTTGGGGAGGGATGCGATGGGAGAAGTGACGATTCTCTTTTAAACACATTGAATTTGAGGTGCTTATGAGATTTCCAGGTGGACATTTTAAATAGGTAACTGTTTTGGCAGTCTTGAAGCTTAAGAGGAAGGTTTATACTGGAAATGCAGATTTGGGAATGCCAGTGGATGGCTGTGAGATTAAGTCATGAAGGTGCATAAGTGTACTCAGGGACAGAGTGTTAGTTGAGAAAAAGGATGGGCTTCTGAGGAAAATTCACATTTAAGAGATGGGGAGGTTCAGAAAAATTTTGAGGAAGGCTAAAGTGGAATAGCCAGGTTACAGTGGGTTTTAAAGTTAGTGGGTTGGAGGAGCTTATAGACTCTATAAGGGGGTGGGGAACCTTTTTTCTGCCAAGGGCCTTTTGGATATTGATAACATTCCTGGGCCATACAAAATTATCAACTTAAAAATTAGCCTGCTATATTTGGTCAGGCTAATTTGGTGAGGCATGTGATGTTAGCTGCTATTGATTTCACGAGCCTTATATGGCCTGTGGGCTGGATGGTCCTCACCCCTGTAGGAAGGATGTGCCTATAACCATTAAAGTCTTGAACCTTGGCAAGATTAGGGGCTCCTTCAACACTGCAAAATCCTGGACAGCTCTGAGATTCCAAAGGATTGGCTTAGATGTTTTCCCTTTACAAAACCCTCTCTATTCAGCTTACTTTTCTCTGTTCACTCTAACTGAGAGCCCAGGGAATTTTGGGGCTCCACCCAGGCCCTGAAACAACCTTTGCTCCAGAGTCCTCCCACATAATCTGAGAGGTCTAGGGGGTATGGCCATCTATTAGGAGAGCAGATGGGGAATGTCTGGGTGTATTATATATGCAGGAGGCTTAGGCTAGCCCGCAGAAGGGGATTTGGTCAAGTCCTAGAGGACCTGAACTCTCAGAGTATAGACAGACAACTTTGCTGCCTGCCTTAACCTGCCCCAGAGTAGATTTTCACCATGAGCAGGATGACCTAGAGCTAAACCACTGCTTTCTAGGCCCTTTAAGATTCAAGAGGCCTCTAATAACCTGGAGTCCAAGGCTATATCCTAGGACCTGTTCCTCCTACTCCAGTCTCCTGGAGTTTGGCCTCAGTCTGCAATTGAGGAGCCCTGTGGCACTATTGCTGGGCAATGTGTTAAACAGAGGCCTTGGAGATGAAACAGCCAACAGCCTAACATGGAGTTAACACGGCTACCACAATTGCCACTGCTAACACCACCTTCTCAGAAAGCAGCCACCTGTCTGGCCCTGATTTTGTCTGGCTGCCAACCTAAGGCATGTGCCTACGCAGGAGGTGATGACATTTTGGCTCCCCTTTCAAAGTTTTTTTTTTTTCTTTCTCGTGTGTTATTTCTAAAGATAACAAAGGTCAAAAGGCACCCAGCATTTTCTGGTTTCTCATAAGCTTCTGGTCAATATTTAATCTGGTTTATGGATTTTTTTTTTAGGTCTTCTAGATGCCTTCTTGAGCTTGCTTGTGGCCACCCACAGACACTTGTAAGGAGGAGAGAAGTAAGCATAGCAGAGACATTCTGAAATGAGGAAATAGAGACTGAAATCCAAGGAGCAAGAGCTACAGCCAGAACACGAGAGAGCAAGCCCTGAAGACACTTCTACTGAGAGGTCTGCCATGGCCTCTCTTGGCATCCAACTTATAGGCTATATCTTGGGCCTCTTGGGGCTGTTGGGCACCCTGGTGGCCATGCTGCTCCCCAGCTGGAGAACAAGTTCTTATGTCGGTGCCAGCATTGTGACAGCAGTGGGCTTTTCAAAAGGCCTCTGGATGGAGTGTGCTACACACAGCACAGGCATCACCCAATGTGACATCTACAGCACCCTTCTAGGCCTGCCTCCTGACATCCAGGCTGCCCAGGCCATGATGGTGACGTCCAGTGCAATCTCCTCGTTGGCCTGCATTATCTCTGTGGTGGGCATGAGATGCACAGTCTTCTGCCAGGATTCCCGAGCCAAGGACAGAGTGGCGATAGTGGGTGGAGTCTTCTTTATCCTCGGAGGACTCCTGAGCTTCATCCCTGTTGCTTGGAATCTTCATGGGATCTTGCGGGACTTCTATTCTCCACTAGTGCCTGACAGCATGAAATTTGAAATCGGAGAGGCTCTTTACTTGGGCATTATTTCCTCTCTGTTCTCCTTGGTAGCTGGAGTCATCCTCTGCTTTTCCTGCTCACCCCAGGGAAATCGTTCCAACTACTACGATGCCTACCAGGCCCAGCCCCTCACCACTAGGAGCTCTCCAAGACCGGGTCAACCACCCAAAGTCAAGAATGAATTTAACTCCTACAGTCTGACAGGGTATGTGTGAAGAACCAGGGACCAGAGCTGGGGGTGGTGTGGCTGGGTCTGTAAAAACCAGTGGACAGCCCCCCCCCCCCACAGGGCCACAGGTGACGGACATTGCTAATGGAGCATGTCAGAAGGTGCTGCTGAGGATAGACTGACTTTGGTCATGGGATCAAGAGAAGGCAAAAATGGGTGCTGGTGTGACAGTGTCCGAGTTGAACTGTCAAGATGCTTACCAAACCAGCCTTTCTGTTTTCTTCACCTTGGTCCCCTACCCAACACCCTGAATCCCCCAACCCTCAACTCCAAACCTACCCCCTACTCTAGACCAAACTCCACAGTCTCCAATCTGCCCTTTGGTTTACCTGGCAATCCATCTATAAACCCACTAATCACATTCCATGGACTGACCCTTTCTGTGATCAAAGATCCTCCCTCTGGCTGAGGTTGGCTCTTAGTTCATTGCTGGGGGTTAGGGGGAAGGAGCAGTGGTGGCTTTCATGAAGATGGCTCAAATCCTCCTTCTCAAGCTTTCCTCCAAATAAACTGATCGGCCACTAATGGGCCTTGGAGTTTCTATCCCACTCTTGTGATGATTCCACAGTGTTCAGACTGATTTGTGCATGAACAGATATGGAGCCATCCCACTGTATCGAGGGAACAGGATGCAGGATGACAGGGAGGGAGTCACTGCCGAGAGAAAATCTCAGAATTCCCTCACACTTGTGGGTTAGGGATCTAGCCCACAGCGAGAGGAAAGCGCAAGGAAAGAAGACGTGAAGGAAAGCTCCACTCCGGGCAGCAGCGGACTTTTACTCCACTGAGGAACTGCCTCAGCAGCTGCAGCCTCAACTTTAACTGAAGTTCCTGCCTCCCTCTGAGGCACCTGATCTGACCTCCTGCTAAACAACGAGACTAAGTGCCCTACACAATGGTTTCCTTAGGAATTGGAAACTAGTGTTCCTAGAGATGGCCCTTGGCTGTGAGATGAGAGTATGGGAGCTGTGGGAGACTGCAAAAGATATCACTCCTTGATGCAGGTGCCCAAAAAAGAACAAGAACTTTGGTACCTAAGAAGCTAGGTGGATATGTGTGGTGTTCCAGTAGGTGTTTCTATCGGGCCACAGAGAGTCTGCCCCCAGAGAATCTACAAGCCTAATAGAAAATCAGCCCAAAGGCTCTCAGGCCCTCAGGGATCTACCCATAGAGCACACTACAGAAACTGAAAGACCACAGCACAAGGTGGGCCTGTCACCTTTAATATTCCCCCACCATCCTTCACTAGACATTTCAGAGTTGGTAAAAGGCATTCAAGGGCTTCAGCATGGAATAGTTAGGCCTTAGGTGCTGTGGCCCTGAGCGATAGCTAAGCTGCTGCCTGGGATTTCAGGTAAGGTGGGAAAGTACAGAGTGGTTCCCAAGCAGATAGTTACAGCTCCAAGACCTGAAAAACGCTCCATTTCCCCTGGGGTGGGGTTGGAGGTGGGATCCATAAACAAACAAAAGGCATTTTTCCTCTCAAGTCTAAGTATGACAAACTTTTGACAAACTGCAGTATACCTCCCCAAACCTCATTGCCAGCAAAAGAGGCCCATTCATTGTCTCTAGCATGCCTTGCATGTTTTCTACTTCCTTACCTATGTTTAAGCTGTTCCTCCAAACTGTAAAGCCCTATCCCCTTTGCCAAGTTTTCCTCACGCTTGAACAACTTGCTCAACACCACCTCCTTCATTATTGAGCCTCCTCTGACCACTCTGTCCTTCTCCTATCCCTCCCTCAATGTAAAAATCACTTCTTTGATGCTTATAATTCACAATTTTGATGCTTAGTTATATTTTCATGTGTGTATATCTGATTTCACAAGTACACTGTAAATTTTGGAGGGTATAAGCCATATTTTAGACATCTATGTATCCTCCAGACTTGTAGATAAACACTATCTGTAAGAGTACTTGGCAAATAGTAGATGATCAATAAACATTTGTTGATTGAATAACTGTTTTATTCTTTCAAAGTGGCCTTTACAGGGTAGGTGTGGTGGGAAGCATTGGCTTAAGGGGAGGGTAGGATGGAAAATGGCTTTTGGGTGCATAGAAAATTCTAGACTTTTCAGAAGATATTATGAAAGACACCTCTCGTCCTCAGGGAAACTTTAATCTTTTAAAAAATATGTTTTTATTGATTTTTTTTAGAGAGGGATAGAAATATCGATGTGAGAGACATATATCGATTGGCTGCCTCCTACACACCCCTCACTGGGGATCGAGCTGGCAACCAGGGCATGTGTCCTGACCAGGAATCAAACTGGGACCTCTCAATCCACAGGACGATGCTCAATCCACTGAGCCACACTGGCCAGGCAACTTTAATCTTTTTATATTGCCCAGGGCTCCTCCTTTTCACAAAAATTGTTTTATTTAGATTATTTACTAAATTTGCTATGTGTTTATTCCTTTCATTCTCCATTTGGCAGATGGGGAAACTAAGATCCATATAAGTAAAGAGATTTTCCCAGGATTACACAGATGGTGTTAGTGCTCCAGCCACCTGACTCCAAAAATAGGACTCTACTGATCCAACAATATTCATAGCCAATAGGAAGAGCCTGCCAGTGGTCCCTAAGCTGCCCAAGGAAAACAACTTATGGTCAGCAAGGTAACATAAGGGACACATAGGCTCTCCTGGTCTCCTGTAAGGGGGATCTGGGAAAGCAGGACGAATTCACTGAGTATACCACCTGGAATTGCCCCTCCTGCCATGCTGGCCAGCTGACCAGCCTGGGCCCAGGGGAAATGCCAAACTCATAATTTAATTAGTCACAAAACCTCAGTTCCAATTACTCTAACTCTGGAGGTGTGAGATTTTGGGAGGCCAATGATTTGGCCCTGTTCCAACCTCTTTTGGAATCCACAAAGCCTAATTCATGAAGATGTTAACTGTGGCAGCACTGATCATAATGGGGCTCTACAAGATTCAGCTTACCCAGCCCCTGGACCTAGTGGGCCTCAGCACACAGGAGCCTGTTATAACAGGTGCTACTATCATTGCACTCCTCAAGTGGGCCTTCTTTGGTGCAGAGGCTAGGACTCCAGCATCCAAGCCCATTTATTTAGAAGGAATGATGGCAGGCAGGAATATGGGTGAAGAGAGAGGGCTTGATGAACAGAAGTTTAATAAGAGGTAATGTCTCTGGTCTGGTAACCTGCTACTGGAATCTAAGAGCCTTTGAGGGAAACAGAGAACAGACCTTACCATCATCTTAGGATAAGGCTGACCTGGGAGGTCCTTATTCCCTTTTTGTTCTTTCCATATTTTAAATAAGAGTTTATTTGAGCTGAACTGATGACATATGCCAGGGGAAAAGATATCAAGTGCTCTTCCTGCTTCCTTTTAATCTGAGAAGATTCTATAGAAGTTAGAAAGCCATACTCAACTAAAGAAACCAAGAAAGACCCGACAAAGAGCAACTAGCAAGAAAAGCCTTTGAATGGATTTACCTTTGGCTTGCTGAGCAAGAAAAGCCTTGATCTAAATAATTTCCTAGAAATCTCCTTGAGTCTGGGTCCACGTTGAACAGCTTTCAGCTGACCCCATTGCCTTCCATCATAAAGTAATTTAGATTAGCTATAGACCAAGGGGATAGTGAAGGCCGTTGGGTTTATGCTTCAGCCTCATGTATCTGACCCTTGCACAAGGAGAGATGTTTCTACCCTCCCTCATTTCTCTGATAATAGGATGAGTCATGTCTTCTCCCCCTTGGGGCCCTGGTGACCCACTGCTATGTGATCATTAATGTGGAGGAGGAGGCTATAACCGGTTTCTTGGAGGAAAGGCAAGCTCCAAATTCTGTGAGACCTTTACCCAGCCAGTTAAAAAGCCATTCAACCAACTCTCTAGCCAGCAAGTCCACACCAACTGCACCCTTAGTCTGTGTCAGGCAATGTGTGCTTTGAGGGCTACAAGGGTGAACAAGGGTAGTCTGTGCCTTAAAAGAGCTGGCAGCTGATCTAGAGAAGACAAGACATGCACACCAAGGTGTGGTCTAAGGCACAATATAGTCTGTCCTGTGAGAAGGGTAAGTTCCATAAATCGGAATGTCAGGGGCTATTTCAAAAATGTTTGTAAGTCTCCTCAAATCCCAATTCATATGAAATAAGGCTCTGGAACTACTTGAGCTTCTGGGGGAAGGATATCAAAAGAAACTGCTTTTCCAGCTGAAGGACCATGGGAAACAGAAATAAGGTGGAGAGCAGTGCTATGGAGGAAACAGGGAGACACTTATCAGTTAACCAAGAATACCTTTGAGTTTACCTCACAAGACCCTTAAATGTCTCTAATAGCGAGAGTGATCCTGGGGCTCAGCCTCTTTCCTCTCATTTCCTTCTCTTGGGCAGGTCTATGGAAATTTCGGGGAGCAGCCGAGATAGTGACCATCCAAGTAACCTGAGACCTTTAGGCTCTGGACCAGAGGAGAAACACAGGTGTGGGAGAAGGGTCACAGCTGTAAAGGAGGGCAAATGAGGCATTGAAGAGTGAACAGTTTCCTCCCACTCAGCCCAGGGCCATGGACAGGTGATTTTTTTTGTGTCTTCAGCTGCCCACTCTGGGACATAGAGGCCCGAGGCTGGGAAGTGCCTGTGCTCCTCCTCACCTGGCTGAAGCCTGGCCTTCACCGAGCCTGGCCCCCTGCTCCAGCAGCTCCTAGCTTTGATGAAAAATTATGTTATCTTAATGGGGGCTGGGGGAGAGCCTAAAACAGGAAGTCCAGTAAATTGTCTCTCTCTTTTGCCTTGCCTGAAGTGGTGGCTCTCTGCGTGCTATGATGTGATCACTGATAAAATATTAACAGGCTTTTATCACGCACAGCAATACAGAAGCTGTAATCTGACCACCCCCCTCCATCCCATACAAACTATCACTTTCCTGGAAATTGCAGCTCAGGAATTTCCTGCTCTGGGCCTAATTTCTCCACAAAGCAAGTCTTCGGGCTTCACAAAGCAGAAAGTCACTATACAAAGGCCA